TAGCTTTTTGTCTGATATCTTACCATATGATAAACCGTTTCATTAGATTGTGTCATTAAATTTTATTCAATTACCCTTTCACTACACTATTTAAAAAAAAAAAAAAACCGTTTCATTACACTGTGTCATGAAATCATACCATTTTACATTTGTATTAGACCATGATATTCGACTTTGCCATTCGTCCGTTTCATTAGACCGTTTCACCTGGAAAAAAAATGGGGAACAATGGTGGAAATTAAACCGCGGTCACCAGAGCATCATAACCCAAAATCAGAACAGAACATTGCCCGACTCTAAGCTATCTAAACAGATTGAATCCCCAGCGGGACCCGAGCTGCCGCCACGGTCGGCAGGCGCCCGACACAGTAGTGCACTTGCTAGCCGAGTTGCTGACACTGATGCCAGACACTGAGAAGTGGTGAAGTTGGGAACTCTCCAGAAATCCTCGTCGAACGTTAAATGCATGGCGACGCCCACCCGATGCCGAACCACGGTAATGTGATGGCCGGCATCATCGCAGAGAGTTTGCTCTGCCCCAAAAAAGTGAATAAATTAGACCGGGTCAATAGACGGTGTGAAATAGACAGTATATTGTCTAATTGTGGTCTTTCATAGGCAGCCGTTTCTTTTTTAACTCTATAAACAAAAGAGTTAAATTGAGACCCAGGAGAGCTCACAGCACCAGCATACACGTACGTTGTGTACGGGAGCATGTGTCGGCTGTTGACCCTGGCGTAGGGGTGAAGTCCAAATAGGATATCTTCCCAGTGGCATAGGGAGGCGGTGCGGAGAGGGGTGGTCCACCCAGGGCGACACTTGATGTCTTTTTATAGAGGGGCTTCAATTTCGGCCAACTAAAGACTTGTTGTTGTTTTTTTTGTTTTTTCTTAATATGTTTGTGGAAATTGCGTACACAATTTTGGCCCTCCATAACACTAACACTAGACCTCTGGAAGGCATGATGGGATTTGGCGGCGACAGAGCTCCCAGTTCATTCGACATTGCCCTTAGATCATTTACTTAGCACTTGTTAATTGACCGATTCATTAGACCGTTAAATATACTCGATGGCGTTATTCGTCTGACTCGTCACAGGACAGTTTAATTAGACCTGACCATTTGACCCGTCATAAGACTAGCGCACAGCTATAAGGAAGGCTCTGCACCTGAATATCTCAAAGAACTTATTTCCAAACATGTAAAAGAACCTGCGCTCTTCGTCACAGGCCCTACTGAGACATTTTTCTTTAAATAGATTTTATGACATCACAGGGCTTTGAGCAAACTTGAATAGCATGGAGACAAGCGCTATACAAGTAATCAATCATCATCATCAAGTCAGTTTAATCAGAACAAATCATTTGATAGGCTGGTATTACACTTTGTTATAAAAGTGGGATTCCCCCGATGAGACAATGCCATACTTCAGTCTGAGCGAAAACGTCCGACGCCATGTCCACACAACAAACAAGCAGCGTCTTTATAATACGTGCAATTTTATATTAATTACATTATCTGATGCTTCGCCTCGTGGACAAAGTTAGCGACACACTTCTTCAGCTCCTGTTAGTCTACTAAAACACATGGAATAGAGAACCCCATAACACACTTCTTCAGCTTCCTGTTAGTCTACTAAAACACATGGAATAGAGAACCGCATAACACACTTCTTCAGCTCCTGTTAGTCTACTAAAACACATGGAATAGAGAACCGCATAACACACTTCTTCAGCTCCTGTTAGTCTACTAAAACACATGAAATAGAGAACCGCATAACACACTTCTTCAGCTTCCTGTTAGTCTACTAAAACACATGAAATAGAGAACCGCATAACACACTTCTTCAGCTTCCTGTTAGTCTACTAAAACACATGAAATAGAGAACCGCATAACACACTTCTTCAGCTTCCTGTTAGTCTACTAAAACACATGAAATAGAGAACCGCATAACACACTTCTTCAGCTTCCTGTTAGTCTACTAAAACACATGAAATAGAGAACCGCATAACACACTTCTTCAGCTTCCTGTTAGTCTACTAAAACACATGAAATAGAGAACCGCATAACACACTTCTTCAGCTTCCTGTTAGTCTACTAAAACACATGAAATAGAGAACCGCATAACACACTTCTTCAGCTTCCTGTTAGTCTACTAAAACACATGAAATAGAGAACCGCATAACACACTTCTTCAGCTTCCTGTTAGTCTACTAAAACACATGAAATAGAGAACCGCATAACACACTTCTTCAGCTTCCTGTTAGTCTACTAAAACACATGAAATAGAGAACCGCATAACACACTTCTTCAGCTTCCTGTTAGTCTACTAAAACACATGAAATAGAGAACCGCATAACACACTTCTTCAGCTTCCTGTTAGTCTACTAAAACACATGAAATAGAGAACCGCATAACACACTTCTTCAGCTTCCTGTTAGTCTACTAAAACACATGAAATAGAGAACCGCATAACACACTTCTTCAGCTTCCTGTTAGTCTACTAAAACACATGAAATAGAGAACCGCATAACACACTTCTTCAGCTTCCTGTTAGTCTACTAAAACACATGAAATAGAGAACCGCATAACACACTTCTTCAGCTTCCTGTTAGTCTACTAAAACACATGAAATAGAGAACCGCATAACACACTTCTTCAGCTTCCTGTTAGTCTACTAAAACACATGAAATAGAGAACCGCATAACACACTTCTTCAGCTTCCTGTTTGTCTAATAAAACACATGAAATAGAGAACCGCATAACACACTTCTTCAGCTTCCTGTTTGTCTACTAAAACACATGAAATAGAGAACCGCATAACACACTTCTTCAGCTTCCTGTTTGTCTACTAAAACACATGAAATAGAGAACCGCATAACACACTTCTTCAGCTTCCTGTTAGTCTACTAAAACACATGAAATAGAGAACCGCATAACACACTTCTTCAGCTTCCTGTTTGTCTAATAAAACACATGAAATCGATCACCATGCGGCACTCTTCTTATGGTGGGATGACGGGGAATAAAGCAACGTGTTGTTAGGTTTATCATTAGGTCAACTAGAACACGGGATCTTTACCTTTTTGCGGCGCCGCACCCCACTCTTGATCTCAGAACTTTTCCCCACGCCCCTTCTCGTTTTGAAAAGCTTTCCCCCGCAAACCACCCCTCGCCACCCCACGATACGCAAAAGTAGAATCCAGGTCAGTTGAATGTGTACTAAAATAAGTGTCTCCTCTCATTACGTTTCAATATATTTAATGTAAATGTATACGAAAGAGGAGATTTATCATAAAACATGTTGAAATGTTTGCCTTTCACCCACTTGCCTGTTCCTTGAACAATGGATAGAACCATATGGGAGGTAAGGCCAACACATCATGTTATTAGCTAATGGCTCATCTAATCAGCCGTCATTTTATCTTTCTTTAAATTTACTTTTTTTTACGTTTTCACCATTATTCTCTGCGGCACACCTGGTAAAGATCCCCCCTCTTTAAAAAGACCCTGGTAAAGACAACCCCTGGTAAAGGGACCCTAGTAAAGGGACCCTAGTAAAGCCCCCCCCCCTGTTAAAGTTCCCCTGGTAAATATCCCCCTGTTAAAGTTCAACAGGTAAAGACCCCCTTGATAAAGTTTCCCTTGTAAAATGACCCTGGTTAAAACACTCCCCCCCCCCCGATAAAGTTCTCCTGGTAAAGACTTCCTGGTAAAGAGACCCTGGTAAAGTGACCCTGTTATAGACCCCCCCCC